GGACGGCACTCATTAAATCGGTACTGGTCAAGTTTTGCCTTGAAAACCCCCACGGATGGGACATGACAATCTCCGCAGGATGGGCATTCCATGCCTGGATTACCATCTTAGAGAAAAAGAATTTTCTTGGGTCAGTGAATAAGCATTTAAGATGATTAAGTGGGGATGTCGATGTGAACGTAAACATTATCCTTTGATTAATTTGAGCGTCTTGCGCTCCGCTTCTACTAAAATTATGCGCTTTCGCCATCCAGTGACTGAAACGTTTCATCCGCCAAGTGTTGTAACCAATTTCGTTTAGTGTTCGAGAAAGGCATGTCTTATAGTGTTTAGTTATAAACTGAATGAAGGGCCCGTATTCATCAGAGACGTCAGGCTTACAGTTTATGTAGCTAAACGAAAATCTTGGGAAATTTATTGATGCACGACACTTCAGTAGTTGCTTGTTTCTTTGCCTCTACTAGTCGGATTTGGTTTCTTTAAGTAATAAGAACCATAAGAGATTGCTAAATTTTCTTTGTTATGCAGATAAATAATTACGGTCGGTGAATGCGCATGAGGTTTTTTCCATAAAGTGCGCTCTTAAGTCTTTGTCACACTGATTTAATCACGCCAATCCTCTGTTATATCATTTTTTAAACCTTCTAGACAAAGCTCTTACTTTGTAGACTTTCAGTTTAGTATAATTTCAGTCAAAAAGGTAAAGTATCAGGAAGGCAAGGTTCCACTGCAAACCTATCTTTATATTATTTTCCCTCCTATTCAGATAAAAGCAACTCGGCTATTGACGCATAGTTTTCGCTAAGTCTTTTTATATTGATTCCTAGTGGTCTTGATTACTTCGGGAAAATATCGGAATTTTTATTGACGTCAGTTTTTGCCTAGTCTACTACGATGGGATACTGGAATAGATCACTCCAGTATTAGAGGTGGTCCTACGCTAAATTCTAAGGGGTACCTTTTCCCGTATCCTACTCTGACTACTACTTGACCCTAAAGACCGCAACGTTCACCCGAGACTCGGCAACATCTGACATTCTTAAGGAAGAGTATCTCATCTTTTGCAAAACAACCTATTCTTATCTGAATTTCCTACTTAAACGGAAAGTATCCTTTCATAATGTCAAGCTTCCTTTAATAACCTCACTCGAACCTGTTTTAAGCGGTTCTCTTAATGATCACATTTCCTCTCTCATTGTAAATAATTAAAGAATTCTTAATACCTGAAATTTAAAATATCTCATTTCAGAAACTAATGCGTCACGCAATTGCCCTTTTGTTGCTTACTATTTAAAGCGTTTTTTTAGAATAAATATTTTTGGCCCTTACCTGACTCATTTGTCTTGAATTATGACATTATGGCTGTTAGCATCAAAATTCACGACCTGTCCAATTTGAACGATTTGGTGGCCATCATTGAGTTAGAGGATGACATCAACGACTTTAGCCAGGGTCCAGAGTCGGCAAACCGTTCCCTCACTCCCACCAACGGTCTTTCGTGTGCCCTTGATTGGTCCCAAGATGGCCAACTTCTGGCGGTAGTTTCGCCCAGACAGATTCTGCATGTCTTCCTCAGTCAACTACCCATGCTCTTCTCTGTCTCGGCCAACGGTCTGGTGGCCAGGTTGACCTCTCTCCTCGAAGTCACCATCGAGCCCCTCTTTGTAAGTCTTTGTTCCACCCGCTATACCTGGTCATTTCCCCTTTCTTCTTTACAGCTGCCAACTCAAAATGTTTATGTACACTGCCGCTTTCTAAGCAGAAAATTACGGATGACTTTGAAAATCCATGATTCCTTACAGCAGAACCTTTTTTGACTGATTCTGATAAATGATCAACTATATAGCATAATACAGGCATATCAAATCCGTCAGGACTTTGCAACTCGCTTAGGTTTCTTGTATCTACCTGAATTTTGAGAAACTACGATTTCTTTTGTGCATGCTTATTTGGCAAGTGTATGATGCAAAGAGTGGTTTTATGGTGTTAAGATGTATCACGGGCACTCCTTTTTTCAACACAGTCTACTACTCTCGGCCTATCTATCGGAAAAATACTGAAAGATAAACTGTCAACGGGAACTGGTTGCGGCCGCAATGCATTCAAGTGGTATCCTTAGCACACAAATAAGTCCAAAAGCGTAGATGCTTAAGTGCGCATTAGGTAAGGCGTGCTTTCGGCAGCCATGCCATCTCGAGACTTTCCCTAAACTCTTGGCGTTAGCAGCTTGGGTCCCGGACGAGGTTTGCAAAGGCCTCATTAAGGTTTATGGATAGGCCAATCGGTGAACTTTACCGACTTCACTGTATTCAAGTTCTTTTTATTGCAGTGCTTCCGCACTCTATTTCCGATAATCTGGACGCACGAAATATTGATCGAAAATGTTTGTTTTTGAATATAAAAGTTAAGACATAATTACGCATGACATCGTCTCCTTAGAATTCATTGACATAGACATCTCGTCTTTCTGACAGATATTTCCAACTAATAGCCCAACATTATCAGACTACTATCATAACTTCATTCCTAATTACTTTTAATAATTCCCTTACCTTCCTTCGAAGCCAATATATCCTAAAGTGGAAAAATTGTAAAAAATTCATTTGTAAAAGTTAATTTTCAGGATGTGACGTTCAAAAATATACACTGGAGCTTCGGGTGATTAGCAGCCCCATATACGAGCATTTCAGATAGCGAGCGAACCACTAGCAGAAATTTTTTTTTCCACTGACGAGCTTCCACTCGGTTAACGAATTGTCAGCACATGTTTTTGTCTGCGTCCGCCGTTGGATCTTGCTCCCACGGCATGGGTCCTCCATTGCCTGTAGCCAATCAGTGAACTGGCGCAGTTTGATTGGCTACGATTTGCAAGACTGCTATCAAAGGAGTCAAGGAATGTAAAACCCCGAATTGAAAAAGTGTGCAAAAATAAAAAGAGGGCACATTTTTAATTAAATTATTAGCTCGGCTCTGGGTGATGTAAAAAACATGAAATATCCACACGAATACCAGTCTGTCCTCAGGCGTTATTATTTCTGGCATTATAACCGAAATAACTTCGAAGTTCGATGCGATCGAAGTAACAGCGTCCAGTCTTTTTGCATTCGGGGGAGGCACTTTTTCAACCATAATCACTGGTCTTATTTAAAAAAACTGATCTTTTGAATTTAAACTGTTGTTCTTGGTCATAATTAAGATGGCATAAAATCCATCCAGAAGGTTAAGCCTTCAAGTAAAAACTCTTCATTTAATTTGGGTTGTATTATTCTGGGCTGAATAGTTTATAGACATAGTGCTGAATTGATAAAATATTTTGTATAAAGAACAGGATCCATTTTCAATGAATTACATTCCTCAAATTGTTAATTACATTTTAAGCGTCTATGTGTCCAGTTTAGTGTTCAGAGCTAGCATTGACGGCAAATGGCGGTAGCGGTGATATTTAAAAAAATCTTACGCCTGTCCACTTTTATCAAGTTCAGTAATCCTGATGACAATTACTATTGAAGTATTTACATCAGCACATGCTTAAATAACTGGTTACTGACTGATGGATGGCTTCGTTGGATTTCCCTGTATTAGGGCCACTGTAAATATGGAGTGTAACGCATTACCCCGAAAGAGATGTTCGAATACCCAAGTAAACGATGTCCACTGCCGCTTAAGATAAAGCACAATGTGGAATTGCACGTTCATCTGTTTGAAGGAAAGAAAGGCTTTCGCCACATCCACCTCGTCCTTTTCCCATTCCCATGATAAGATAATTCAAGATGGCCAAGATGGGTATAAAAATGTGGCTGTCAGACGGTGTAGTCCGTAATAATATGCGCGCTTGACATCAGTGGGGGGTCTTAGTTCGCACATACCTGACGGCTACCAAAGTGGCCATATTGAATAGGAGTAGTTGAAGCGTGCTCGGCAGTAGTGAGTCTGACCGAATTCTCTAATTCGGTTCCATAAGACAAAGACGACGAAGTAGTCGCGAGTCACTAAGATTTCCGTGGGGGTCCAACGTAATATGAAATAAGTGTACACAAGTACGCCTACTGAAATATCTATGGTAGGTATTTAGGTATGCCGTACAATCCTCCACTACTTCAATTTCTACTGCCGCTAAATAGGCATAAGTCTGCGTCCTATGCATGTTACACGCACATATGACGATGCCCGAGGAGTCACACAGACTCTCCACACAGCAATAATGTTAACACTGTACTGGTTAAAGAAACGGCGGCGTAGGCCGCTTGGGTTTATCAGGAAGAAGTATTGAGCAGAAAAAGAAAGACTCAAGTGATGAGTACACAATGCGGCCGGAAAGCCATGAAAAATGCCGAAATTTGCGAAATTTTTATAAGAACTCGCAAACCGACACAAGCGCATGTACGAAAACCTTGAAATAGTAATCAAAACACTGGGCGAATTTACGACTTAAAATAAATATAAAAAGCACCAATTGTTTTTTTAGAAAAATATAAATTTTTAAAGTGTACTTAAGTTCCTCAGGCGTGAACAATTGCTATAAATTAGATCAATAAATGTAAATATATCCATAAGATTTTATCTACAGCAAAATAACTTTCCTTTCTTCAGATTTCTTTATACGTATTTCTGGTATTGAATTAAAATTAGTTTCGGATTGTCCCTCTCATTCCTGCTAATTTCCGACAATTTTCAGTATTTTAAGCTTTATTCCATAAGTGTAGATGCTGTTCGACGTTTATATAAAAAAACCTTTACAATAAGGTATTTCTTAAGAGCATTTACCAAAAGCGTGAATTTTCAATATTAGTTCTTATGAAACTAGCCATGTAAGCTATATTTCTAAACTTCATTTGTTGGTTCACGCCACCCGATAATGTTTCGAGCTGAGCAAACGAAATGTAAAGTTCGAATGCGGTACTAGCTCTGCATTCACTTTAACATCTTACCTATTCAGCTGCGAGCTCAGGCTCTATTGACTGTGATTGGGTATGCAATTAGTGGCCTAAGTTATTAACCGGTTTAAAACCCTAAACATGCATTCATCAAAACATCAGACTAATAAAGAATGACACTGGGGCAGCGTTCGTTCATCTGG